AAAACCCAGGAACCTCACCAGTTTCTTCCCCAATTGATGCGAATTTACGGTTCATCTTTTGAAACGCAAGTGAAATCGCTGGATACACTTGTAATAAACAGGCTTCTCGTCCAAAAAACTACCAGATGTCGAAGCCAGCTCCAGCACACGGGTGGTATTCACCTGTTGGTTTGCTAGTAAAAACCGAAGTGAATAACATTGATGTAATCGTTCTTCCACTTGTCTTTCCTGTCCTTTGTGCACTACCTGCTCCAACCAACTGTCGCTACCAACCATGTAGGTGTTGTACTATATGGACCAATCACAGGACGGTTCACTACTGAACCGGTCCAACGGCCCGAACCGAGCATGAGCGGTGCACTGCTCAATCCCACTCACCGCTTACTGCACGGTGTCCACCTTCTCCTTGATACCGCTAGCGTTCCGCAGATACTTGAGCGGCTTGGTGCCAAGCCCCTTTGTGAGCATGTCCGCGAGTTGGTGCTTAGTGTCCACGTAGTCGATCTTGACCGTTCCGTTCGCTACACTTTCCCTCGTGAAGTGGTGCTTGATGTCGACATGCTTAGTTCTGGCATGATAGCCAGCGTTCAGGGCCAGTGCTATCGCCCCTTGGTTGTCTTCCCAGATCTGCGTAGCTTCTTCCTAGTCCTTTCCCATGTCCTTCAACATCGCGCGCGTCCAAAGTACTTCTTGGGTGCACAGGCTCAACGCCATGTACTCAGCTTCTGCAGAACTCAGCGCTACCGTTCTCTGAAACTTCGACTTGAAAACCACTGGGCCGTTCCCGATCATCACCATCACACCTGACACGGAACGCCTATCATCGATATTGCTCCCCCCGTCAGCGTCCGTGAAAGCCTCAACCGTGACCTCGCCCGATCCTCTGTTGTACACGATCCCAAGTGTGCGTGTCGTCTTCAAGTACCGAAGCACACGAATCGCAGCTCGCCAGTGCGGTAGACCAGGGTTCTCGAGGAATCGCGACAGCTGCGTCACCACGTAGGCAATATCCGGCCTAGTACACGTCGTAATGAACATCAGACATCCGATTAGGGAGCGGTACGGTCTTGCCTGCATCTCCGTACACTCCGTCTTCGTTCCTGGTGACTGCTCCTTCGACAACTTGAGATTGGACGCACAAGGGTTGTCGGTACCCTTAGCGTTTTGCTGCCCAAACCGTTCCGTTACGTCGTCGATGTATCGCGTCTGCTTGATCATCAGTGTTCCAGCGCTCTTGTCGTGGTCAATCTCCATCCCCAAGATAAACTTCGCGTCGCCAAGCTCTTTCATCTTGAAAGCGTTCTTGAGGGCCTCTTTGACTTCACAGATCTCATCGCGGGTCTTGGCAGCGATGATCATGTCGTCCACATAGAGACAAATATAGATGTAACCGCTCTTGGAATGCTTCACGTACACACACTGATCTGCACCGCAACTCTTGAAACCGTTCTTCATGAAGACTCTGTGAATAGTTTTGTTCCAGGCGCTCGCAGCCTGCTTCAGCCCATAGATTGCCTTGTTTAGCAAACATACGTGATCTTGGGCGTTCTTGATGCCGAACGGTACCTCCATGTAGACACGAACCTTCAGCTCACTGTTCAGCAACGCTGTGTCTGCATCCAACTGTTCCATCTCGTATGCGTCCGCAACACACACAGCCAAGACTACACGGATTGAGTTCATGTTCGCCAGAGGGGAGTACGTCTCGAAAAAGTCAACTCCGTACTTCTGCTTAAACCCCTTAGCCACCAACCGTGCCTTGTAACGAATCACTCGACCGTTCTCATCGCGCTTCTTGGCAAACACCCAGCGACAACCAATGGGACGGACCGTTTTTCGCGGTGCAAGTGTCCAAGTACCGTTCTTCTTGTGCGATAGAAGTTCCGCCTCCATCGCCTTCCGCCACTCCGCTGCTTCATTGCTTGCAACTGCTTCAGCGTACGAGTTCGGTGTGTCAGGTACACCGTTGATCCTTGCCGCATACGCCAACACTGCTTCTGCAAGTAGGCCACCTTCGTCTATTCTTGGACGCTTAGGTGCTGGTGGACCGTCACTTCCTTCCGACTTCCGTTCCTCATCAAGCTCCATACCGTCCTCCAAAAGAAACACTGGCTCTCGAGAACGCCTTGAGCGTTCTACTTCCGGACGGAATACTAAGCGATCCTCGTGGAACGGTTGCGGGTCATGGTACTCTGCCAGTTCCAGCCCAGTGGAGGTCTCACCTTCAAGTGGCAGTGATTGTTGTACACTGATATTCTGATCCGGTTCCACGTTGTCCATCTCGATATCCTGAACGGGTTCTTCGACATCTTCCATAGGTTCATCCACTACTGGACCCTCAACCGGATTTGGGGTCACTGCTACATCAGTGTCCTTGGTCACGTGAATGACCGTTCCTTGTCCCGAGCACGGTGTATCGTATATACCGTGAACTTCACGTTCGTCAAGCTTGACTGACCGTGCCACCGTGACCTTGGACGCTTCCAAGTCATAGACACGGTACCCCTTTGTGTTCTCTGCGTATCCGAGGAACACACACTTGAAACTCTTCGGATCAAGCTTTGCTCTCTTTGCGTTGTCGATGTGAGAGTACCCATGAGACCCGAACACACGCAAGTGTTCCATTCGTGGCTTCTCCTTATAGCCCACCTCCTACGGCGTCATGTTTGATCGCTCCGTGTTCACCGAACGGTTAATCAGGTACGCTGCGGTACTCACAGCCTCTGCCCACCATGTCGTCGACATACCCTTGTAGTGCAGCATGCTTCGTGCCTTTTCCATGATCGTACGGTTCATCCGTTCAGCCACACCGTTCTGCTGAGAGCTGTATGGCACAGTACGCTGATGCATGATACCGTTTCGAGCACATAGCTGCGTGACCTTCTTGCTCCCATACTCCGTTCCGTTGTCAGAGCGAAGACACTTGATCCGTTCCCCCCATTGATTCTCATAGAACGCTTTGAACTCGGCCAGCTTAGTGGTGACTTCGCTTTTGTTCTTCATGAAGTACACCACCACGAACCGTGAGAAATCATCCACAAATGTCAGCACATACCGTGCTCCACCTTTGGAGACCGTTCGCGTAGGCCCCATTACATCCGTGTGGACTAACTCCAGCACACGTGAGGTCTTGCTCGTTGACCGTGCCGGGAACGGTGTCACAGTGTGCTTCCCCTTCATGCATCCACCGCATAAAGTCTTAATGCCACGGTTCACGACTGGCATACCGTTCGTGGCAGACTGAGTCTTGGCCATACCGTTCTCGCTGGGATGCCCCATACGAGCGTGCCAAAGCTCCCACTGGTTGTCAACCCCGGCGTATTCCACGAACCGTGCTTCTTCTTGCTCACAGTCAAGCACGTACGCCTTGCCAACCTTCTTGCCCAGTGCCACAGCACTGTTCTTGCCCCAGATGACACACGAGGAACGCTGAAACTCCACACTTAAACCGCGCTCCGCAAGCTTCCCAACCGACAGCAACCGTCTGTCAAGTCCTGGAATGTACAGAACTTCCACCATCTTGATGCGCTTGCTATCCATACCGGTCAACTTGACCGTTCCTCTGCCTGCGACCTGCAACTTCTTCCCATCTGCAATTGCTACCTCGATGTCCGAGACCATTCCCTCATAGTCGAACAGATCTTCACGGTACGGTGTCATGTGTGAGGTCGCACCGCTATCGATTAGCCATCCAGCGAACCGTTCTTCGCCCACAGCAAATACCGCGTCATCCTCAGCACCGTTGCTCCCTCCCGGACAGTCCCGCTTCATGTGACCAACTCGATTACACTTGAAACACTTGCCCTTGAAGCTACCACCGCTCTTCCTTGGATTGTTCCCCTTTCGACCGTTACTTCGGCCGCCCTTGAACCGTCCACCGCTACCGCTCACAGGAAACGCTTTCTCCGTCGTCCCCTTCTTTTGCAACCGTTCGTGCTCCTTCAACAACTTCTCCTTGACCTCAATGAGCGTGATATCCTTAGCGTTCTCCATAATAGACGCAATCAGCTCATACTCCGTCGGAAGGCTGCTCAGCAGTACAACTAGCTGTCTTGAGTCGTCGACCGGATCTCCTAGTGCCTGGAGACCAACAACAAGCTCGTCGAAGCGTCAATGCTTGACATGTCGACGTTCTCATCTGACTCATGAGACGCGTGTCATTCGACGCGGTGTGCAGAGTGTACGGTAGTAGAACTCACGCAGAGTGTCAGCGTGCATTAGCAGTCATTCGCAGACGTATCTTCGTCTGTGTGCAGCTCGACTCTTGGCGATGATACCAGTGCTTAGCGTCGTTGATGAGCCACGCTTCAGTCACCTCCGCTTCCTTCTTGACGACTTGGACGTGCACCAGCAACCCCTTGCGCGCCAACGTCATGCGCATATTAAACTCCCAGTGGAAGTAGTTTCCACTACCCAGGAGGACTTTGGCTCGCTTGGACGTCATGGTAGAATGAAGGTGATGGGGCGTGCTTGGTAGAGTTCTTGTTGCGGCTGTTAATCTGTTGGTTTGCTGGTAAAAACCGAAGTGAATAAGATTGATGTTATCGTTCTTCTACTTGTCTTTCCTGTCCTTTGTGCACTACCTGCTCCAACCAACTGTCGCTACCAACCATGTAGGTGTTGTACTATATGGACCAATCACAGGACGGCTCACTACTGAACCGGTCCAACGGCCCGAACCGAGCATGAGCGGTGCACTGATCAGCATCACCACCCGTGCTCTCCATACAATACCTGAGTCACATAGCCACATCATTCTTTGATTATATCAATCATGCGGACAACTTTCTCGGATAATGAAGACAAACGACTTGTGATGCTTGCTCTTGAGTTCGAGATCCTAGGCTCACGTGTTGTTTGGGATGATATATCACGTAAAATGCCAGGCAGGCGCGCACCGAAGCCGCTTGAGATGCGTCTTCGCACGCTGAAACGCACGTACGGCAAGCAACCGGCGCGTTTTCCGCCGTGCTTCTTATCCACACATCGGCCTCATTCTAATGCAGCCCGAATTCGCCTACTCGTTCCAACTGAAGCAGAACGCGCGGTCCGTGACATCTCCAGCGATGTCTCCGCGGCTGATGTACGGCAACAGGCTGGAAAGCCAGAGAAGAATGCTGAGGAACTGCTACCTGCAACTGTATCAAGAATTATTCGCGCTGCTGGGCCTGTGAATAGTGGCGACATATTTCTAGACGTTGGTGCAGGAGTTGGAAACGTTGCCGCCCAGTTCGCTCTTCAGACGTTGGCGAGGCAGTGCTTGGACATTGAAAAGCGGGTGGAAATTGTACGTAGAGCATCGGAGTGCTTACGTTCTCACGCTTCACGTTTGATACTACTTCACAAAGTGCAAGTGTTACATGGCGACGTTTGGACACTCCCATTTCTACGTGTTCACCGTTTCAAGAAGCCTCGATCATTTACTAAACAATTTTCTGTTCGAAGAGACAGGGAAGGTTGTGGTATTGGAGCAGCTCAGCGATATGAGAAGAGCTCGGCTGATTATTTCTACATCGCCGTATTGCCCCCGCCATCGCGTGTCCTGCCGAAGCATGTTGTGTTTGAATTGGGAGCGTTAGGAGATCTTGAGCGGGTGGGCTAGCTGGAAAGCAGCTCTGGTGCCCATATATGTGTACCGCCAAACTGAGAGCTAACTGGTGCCCTTGTGGCGTTCTACATCGGGGTGGCGCGGCTGGTGCTGGTCTTCCTCGCGGTTCTCGTCTTCTTGCTGGTATTAGGGTGTCCGACGTTCTGGTGGTCCAGCTGTTCCCGTGGGGCTGGTGGGGCTGTTAGTGTTGGCTGTTCACCTGCGGTGCGTCGGCGGGTGGAGCGGACTGGTCTGTTGGGCCTAGTGTCCTTCGTGATGTGGCTCGCTGTTGCTACCATCGTAGAATTCCCACTCCTTGGTGGAGCTGGCTGGCCAAGTTGTGCCCGACATCATGCTGACGCTGGCTGTTTTCGTGGTGTTCCCCGTCGTGGTGACTGTGCTCCTGTATTTGCCGCCGTGGTGCTGACTGTGCTCGTGGTATACGCCGTCGTGGTACCTCCTGTGCTCGTGGTTTTCTCCGTCCTGATGGTGCGATCATGTAGGTCGCTGTCGTGGTGCTAGCCGTCCTCGTGACGTTCGCGTGCTCGAAAAAGTTCTTCACCGAAGATGTATACTTAAAACAAGAAAAATGCACCTTTAAGTAAAAAATTGGAATATGGGTATGCACGTGAGCAAGAAGATTGGCTTACATCACTATCGTTCTGGCCACCGGGTTATAACCTGGTGCGCTACGACCTGTTTCAGCAGAGGCTGCACGACCGCTTTGCTGGTGCTGCTTTTACAGTTTGGCGAGACTAGATGATCTTCGAATATTGCCGTTAGCTGAGAATAAGCCTTGGGGCAAGTAGTACCGATGGTACTTGTCCCAGCATGACCACGTCCTCTGCGGGCATGTCCAAATCGTTTCCATGTAAGATTGTACCACCCGGCAAAGACAAACACAATGCGTTAGGCGATAGTCGGTCACCTCCGTGGGGAACCTGAGCTCTTATCGGCATACGATGCATTACCGTTGTTTTCTTCCCTCTCCTGCAAATGTTTGCTTTGAAGCCACCGATTCACACATCTTTTGCGGGCTCCTCGGGCTTGCCATGGCGATGCCGGGGTTCACTGTTGGGGTAGTTGTGTCTCGCTGTGAGGTACCATTCACAACACTGCTTCCAAAAGCCATTGAGCCATCACTAGGAACTTCTCGTCACTTTCCAGATATAAGCTCAGATACCAGCTCAGTTAGGAACGTTCGATGGGGTCATGGTCTCTAGTCGTATCAACCGCCAACCACCGCGTCAAATACGCGTTGGCACGTGCCATGTCTACAAGCACAAGTGCCAGCTTCTTGTGCCAGCGCTTATACGAGTGCCCATCAGCCAACGGAAATGTGGCTCAAAATTGATTTAACCGGTCGCCTCCCTGCATGTGCCGGCTGTACTGTAGGATGCACTTAGGAGCAGAAAATTCTTGTAGCTCACTGCCAACGCGCCGTGTAACAACGGCAGTTGAGGATGCGCCAGCATTTGTCACAATCGTCACGATGTTTCCATCACACCAAGACGCAGCCAGCATTTGATGTTCAATTGCGACAGCCTGCTGATTATCACCACGGGTCGATTCTTTCTTCTGCAGCACAATGTGCTTCGGGAAGTGGTTGCTCCCACCACAAGCGGTGCCTCGTCCATACAAGCCTTTCAACCGAAGATCGAGCAGCAGCTGAACGCTTGTGAAGTAATTATCCTTTTTGATAACTCGCTAAGAAGAGAAGTAAGGTCTCACCACTTCAAGAGCGTGTCTTCGTACTTGTTAAACTGCATCGAGCTCTACTCGAAGCGCCTGGATCTCATCTCCGTTCACAACATGCGCTAACCTATTAGAAATATCGCTGTTGGTGCAGTATGGTCGATAGTTTAAAGCTACCCGAGTAGTTGCACGTCAGACCACATACATGCGAAAGTGGTACTTGTCACCTGGTATTTGTGGGTTGAAGACGATTAGATGCCGTCCGTGGCGTGACCGACACGCAATGCTTGCTTCGTCTAGAGCGAGTTCACGCCCAGGTATAATGTTTCGACCACCAGTACACTTCAGTAAATTCAGCAATAGTCGGATTCGTGCAGCAGAATCGCGCTGCACTGCATCACCCGGGTCTGCGCGAAAACAGAGGCATGTCGAATCAACTTGAATCGGTGGAGACTCATCATACTGTCTAGAAGGTCGAAGAACCACCAAATATGGCGTCTTCCAGCTGTGACCCCCAGTAATTTGCGTATTCCCCTTTGTCAGTCAAGGTTATATAAAACGTGATGCCAAGGAAAATCATAAGCTCATCCATGCTGAAAGGTTTCGTGAATCTGACATCCTTAGCTGCAGCATACTGATTGGTCTCTAGTTCGACT